CTTACTGACATAAATGAACATTTGCACGATATTCTAATTTTTCGAGTTTCACCTGTAAATGATTGTTGCAAGGTGATTTTTGTTCAGATAGTTTAAGTTGTTAAAAAGCATATTGCCACTGAAAGCCTCAGAATAGGATGAACTTCGACTTTCATAATTTTTTAATTAATTTTTTATATAACCTTGTAAAAGTTAGAGAGTTTGTAAGAAGATAAAAGGAAAGTTATGAATAGATTACCCAAGCTAAAATCAAATACTAGAGAAAATCTAAAATACTTAAAAGCTTAGTTATTAAAGTTATAGACTGCTAAGAAAGATAATAAAATATAGGACATTAGAATATTAAGCTAATAAAATATTTTGCTAAAATGCAAAAAAGTTCATTAATTTTTAAAAATTAACTTCACTGAAATCAACAAATAAGCCATGTGCAAACAATATCTCCTTGTCTAGGCTACCTTAATTTGTTAATTTATTCCATTATCCTTGCTGACCCAATCTGGATTAGATGGGGGGAAAAAAGTAAAATTGGGTATCATCTGTGTATTGGTACCTTTTGATGACTTCTTATCCCATCCTAAATAATCTCTCTCAGTGGTTTAAGGTAGATATTGATAAGTAGATGGCTGAACAATAACTCTGCAGTACTATCTTTGAAGTTGTTATCTGTGTAGTAATATAAACATTCTATCACAATACTCCCATAATGGAGCTCAAATAGTTTATTCAGAAGGATATCATGGTTGTTGGTACTGAAAACTACTGAGTGGTTCAAGAGGACCAGCAAGGTTATACCCCTTGCCCATGTCCTGGCGTAAGTAATTCCAAATAGCTTGGCTAAAGACCAATCAGAAGTCAGAACACCTGGCTCTAAAGACAGGAGCCCAGTCAGTCCCTGCTCAGTTGCCTGTGGTCTTGCCTCTGAAGATGCCACCCCAGCTGCTGGCAAAACATCAGGAAATCTGTTGTCTAGACCACAGTCACTAAACCCCAAAGCCCAACACTGCCAACAGATACTGGCTGTGAAAGCCTACATCAATAAATTCCAAATAATTACCAAGGAAACTTGTTTTCTAAAACCAGCCCTGAAACTGGACTGAAATAAAATCAGAAAATCAATTCCATCCTAGTTACTCTTGAGCTGATAATCAGCTACTTGCCCAGATACCTTGTCAAACAAAGGCTTAGGGTTAGGGTTAATTATTTTCATATTCTGGATCAAGTCTGTTTCTTTAGAAGTAGCCTAACCACACCCTCTTGTTAACAGACTGGTATCATTTCCACACTCCAAAAGGAGTTCACAATCAATCCTACATGTTGGGAAAATATAAGCTACAGATGAGATAGCATAAGATACATACATTCATACATGTCACCGCCCAGTCACTTTTTAACAAGATGGGTGGTGAAAATTTGATAATTAAATAAACAAACAAACAAATAAATAAATTTAACTTTATCAGGGCCAGTTGGAGAGACTATATATTAATCACAAATAGCAAAAAATGTAAGGCCTCACCTAAAAAGTGGTTCTTTTGTTTTCTTTTCATTTAACACCATAATGCTGGGCTTCTTAAAATAAGAAATTCCAAATTCTGAATCATCAAAATCATCCCAACTATCCATGTTCTTTAACAGAGTTTGACCCCACCGGCGTCGGCAGTTTTTCACACCCATTGTACTATTTGAGGGTCCTATGGTTGCATGTTTCTGTTTTGATTACAAAAAATAAAAGTTACTTCCAATATATTTTAGAATTTTACATTATTATGTTGAACTGGAAAAACTGGAAATATCTGGGGGGGTTGTAGGAGTTTTGAATACAGAAATAAAAATCCTGCCCTGTTTTCACACTAAGCAAAGTATAAAACATAATACTCCTCAAACATTACAAGACAGAAATAACTGAGAGAGAAGGAATTCTGGATTTGTTTAAACTGGTCCTCTGCCCCACCATGTGGCGAGCAAAAATATGTTAGATTTGATTACACTGTTTTAATCAGCATAATGGCTAGACACTATTCCATACATATACCAGGTTTAAGTAGCACGAGCCAATAGCAGCCTTTCCTCTTAGCATCTCCCTGACAACATTCCACATAATAATCACCTGTATCCTTTTTCCACCTTTTTGAGGGAATATTTGCATCCCACACAGACCTAACAACTGTTGGAAGAACTAATGAGAAAATGCTTACAGTATATTCTGTTTTATTTCTTTTCCCCGTGGATTAAGAAACATTGTGGAGTTGGCATCAGTTAGAGAATTATAACACATGACCCACTATAATCATACATTCCTGTGAAAGAAAAGCAAATGCCAGGTGTGTTGCTGCTGCCAAATTAATCTAGGACCTCATATGGAAATAGGAATGGAGTATATAGAAAAAAGAGCACAACCACAAAGAAGGATTTAAAATAGAGATAAGGGAATAAATAGATGTAGTCAGAGGAAAAAAACAGGGAATAATCATGTGGTGTGCAGAAACAGCACAAACTACAAAGTAGAGAAGAAAATAAAACAAATATTAGAAAAACTAAGGAAAATCTGTAGTGGTTCATATGGGGGGATGTTAAGGGGTGCAGAAAAATTGTTTATGAAGACAGAGTTAAAGAAATAAGTTTAATAGCAACCCAAAATGTACTTTCATTAATATGTGATCAAGTGCTTTTGAATTCTTAAGAATATACTGTAAAACTACCTCTCAAAGCAGTTTGAACTGAGCACTTCTGGAGCAATTATAGATTTGTTCATAAGGTAGTTTCTGAGTGCAACTTACTGATGTTGAGTTTTTACTGATGGCTGGAAGGAACGATTGAAGTTGCTGCTGACTCACTGCATTCTGAGGCAGTTGGATTGGCTGGAGGGGATGCTGGTTATTTTTGGATAGACACTTATCAGATACATCTAGTGAAGACTGAGATTCTGGCATAGATACAGCTTCTAATTTTGATGTATGTTCAAATTTGGGCAGAGATGGCTTTCGTTCTGTTAACTTGGGATATGACTGTTTCTGATTCATGCATTGTGGAGGTGGTCCTAAAACCTGGCCCACTTGAAAGTAAGGAAACTTCAGTGCCTGAGGAAAAAGACAATACTGTTAAGTATAAGACAGCTAAAGGTCTGCAGCTAAAGCTTTTCTACACTTGTCGAACAGTGCAGAAAAATATAAGTATATGCAAGGTCATGCAAAATTAAACAGACCAGTGTTACTGGAGTAAAAAGGGATTTTTAATTTCATGGAAAAGAAAACTACTGCAGTGTAGTGTCTAAGACTGTGAGCTGGGATGCTCCCAGTTCAAATCTCCCATTAACTATAAGCTGATGAAGTCATGCCCAAACCACTAGTAATTTTCCAAAAACATTCTAATTATTTCTCTGAACCATCACCTTACCTGTGGTCTTCCCCTTCTACTTCCATATACCTTGTCAAACATAATTATTTTCTAGTACATCATTCCTGGCCCCATCTGGTTTAAGTATATGTTTGCCTGCTGCTGCTGCTGTTGATGATGATCATCATCATCATCACTGTCGTCACAGTGAGCCTTAAAAGTTCAGTATGTGGAAATGTATTTATGCATCTAAAGGGCGTGAAATTAATAATAATAAAATTTAAAATCTATTTTTCTGTTTACACCTTCCTCAGATGCTCAGTGTAGAATAGTTAGTAACCACGCATTGGCCATTTTTTTCTCTTCGTTTATTCAAAGCTTTGAGAAACACTTAAGTCTTACAGAGGTAGTTGAAGATCAGCAGGGAAAGACATACACATAACTTTTGGGAAATATCAATTCATAAAGTCAGATCAAACACCAAAGATGACAGATTCCTTCTTGATGACTTCCTGATTTCCCTAAAGCAGGATAGATAACATGCAGCCCTCCGGATTTTGTTGAATTCCAACTACAGTCATACACACAGTCTCTTGCCTCCCAACAAAGCACATCTTTCATCTTGTTATATTTAACTACAGCTTCAAATACATAACAATACATTTTATAGTTAATTTTATGAAATGAGAGGTTTTCTTTCAAGATATAGCACATATACTTAGTTATTTAAGTATATTACAAAGTTATTCTGTATATTGTGTAAGAGTTTCTAATAAAAACCTTCCTGTTTTGATGTAGTGCTTGTTAATGACTCATCAGTTTGAGAGATTTTTTGCATTAGCTTACACTCACGATATAAGCAAAATTGCCATATTGCTAATATCACAAGCCTGCATACCTGACTTGCTGTTGGTCGTTTCTTTGGATCCCAATTCAACATGTCACTCATGAGATATAATGCCTCATTGCTGGCATTTGGAATGAGGGTCTTTAGATTTAGTGAAACACACTGAGGGAAACGAAAATTCATTGCAGTAGCAAGTTGGTATCCTTCTGGCCAATCACTCTGTACAGCAGACAAACAAGAATAATCTTTAAAACTAAAAGAAAAGTCATTTTATTGTTTATTGTTGAGAGTCTACAACTATTATTTTGATAATGGTTAATTTGTTTCACAGGTAGTCCTCACTTACTGACTGCAATTGGAACTGGCAACTCTGTCACTAAACAAAGTGGTAATAAACTGAAATATCATGTGACCGTACTGACTTCTCACTAATAATTTTATTCCCACCAATTGTAGCAATATGCATTTTTAAAATACTTTACCTTCTTTGGGGTTCCTAACACCTGGCAAATTTTGAAAATTTCATCAACTTCACTTGTTCCTGGAAAAAGTGGTCTTAGCGTATATAGTTCAGCCATTATGCTACCAACAGCCCAAATGTCAATAGGAGAACTATAAACAGAAGATCTCAGTAAAACTTCAGGTGCGCGATACCTGAAATGGGTGAAGAAAAATAACTGGTAACTTGTCAAGAGGCTTATAAGATAAGTGAAGTCCCTATTAAATCTCACACTTACCATCTGGTGGAAACATAATCAGTATATGGAGGCTGAGATCTTAGTTCTCTAGCCAATCCAAAATCAGCAATTTTAACAAGCTCTGGACCCATACAAAGAAGATTTTCAGGTTTCATATCCCGATGAAAAAATCCTGCATATATGAATGTAGATTAAATAAATAAATAACTATGGCGTGGATTTCAGATTCTACTAATAATAGCATTATTTATTCTGAATTACATGGATTGCCACAAAATCTGCTTTTAAATTTTGTTTTCAAAGCTACACTAAATACAAACTTCAGAAACTTGTCAATCATGTATAATGGGGAGCTAACCTATTTCAGAGATCTGTTACTGGGTCAAAGTACTTTTAATTCTTAATCTTTCTTTTAAATTAATCAATCATAAATCAAAGGTGTACTATCAAAACTTTAAAATAGATGTTTTTTGAGATATTGTATGAAATTAAGAATAGTGTATGTTTAATGAACAAAAACAAATTACTGGATCAGATTTTTTCATACTTAAAATAAAATTTATCCGAAGCATAATTCAGCCTACATTTAATGCTATGTTCTTCATACTCCTTTATATAATGTAATATAGCCAAAATAGTTTTTTTTTTTAGAAAGTATGCCATTTACTCACAGCAATAATAATATTTTAAATTTGTTCTCCCTTACAAAGCCAATTAATGTTTGTAATAATACCACTATTGGTATTAAAAATCCACAATCTGATTCTCTGAAATAGAGATAGATAAGTTATGGCCTGCTTGTTGGGCCCAAACCCTTTTATTGTGCACAAACTATTGATAGTGACAAGCCCAACTGTAGTGGGAAACAAAGGAGAAAATGGAGTAATCATATAAAGGTTCAGATGGAGTTCACACCCCCATAAATCTGAGAAAAAAAGTTCTCAATACTCTCACCCAACCAATGAGCCAAACATTGCATCAAAAGTCCTCCAGCCATTGCATCACTGCCTACTTCACCATGGCTGCTAGTCAAAATTTGCTTTAAAGTGGTTATCACTATTATAATATGTGAAATAATTTGCATCCCTGAAGCAAATACATCTTCTTCTTTGTTAATAACAGAGAAACCTTTAGCATGATTTGAAGATCAGTGCTAGTTTAGCTCTGTTTGTCTATTTATTCTAGCACTGGGTCTCTTCATCCAAAGAACCTTTCTCTTTATACCAGCTCACTGATAGTGACACAAAGTCAGTGACCCCAAACGAGAGATCTCTACATGCAACAGTGGTTTCTACATTCACTACTTCTATCACTAGCCACTGAATGTACAAAAGATACAGTTCTGGCTGGCATTCTAAATACCTCACTAGGAATCAGCACTGTGTATGCTATTCCTGATGCAAGTACAAAGTAACACATTGCCTTATTGCACCTAGCCAGAAAATTCACAATAGGTATCACAATCTAATGAAGTGCACAAAAGCCACATTTCCTAGGTAAGCTTATTAACTGCAAGACCAATCTAAGAGGAGGCACACTTCTGATCTCAAAAGCATCATAAAATATTACAACGTAGATAATAAAACTGAGAGAAATAAAATAAAATGCCAGGTATCTAACATTTTAAGATGTAACAAATCAAATGTTTGTGTTTCTCATAATAAACTTTAGACTATCCAGAATCCATACACTCCTGCTACTAAAGAAGTGTCTTCTACAGCTTTCTACAATATTGCCCTATGATTTCTGTTGGTGCAGGACACTGTCAAATGTACTGCCTGCATCTTAATAACAGCAAACATGGATAGGAAAATTTGTACCCTATAATAAAATTTAGGCAGCCATACTTTCTGATATATAAAAAGGCACAGAACTACTTTATTTAGCTTAATACTATCTCTTGGACACTACACACTATGAAATAGGAAAGCCCATGTGAGTAATCACCAATGTGAACAAAGTGAATTAGGATCAGTGTGGTTTTGGAATAAGCATTGGCCATCAAAAACCTGATTACACGCTTACAGAAAAGTGTCTCCCACAAGATGTCATAGAATTAAACCTAGCCCATATTTGCATTTTAAGTGGCTTTCTGTGCCCAAATAAAGCACTGTTCTGGATGGAACACTATGCCAAAAACTGTAACACTGACTACCAACAATCAGCTCATGCTTAATCTAATATGGCAAAGGAAATTTATAAAATTAGCTTTATAGTTCATTTAAACTTGCTTTGTATTTTATTTTATATACAGTATATATTGTGTGTGTGTGTTGTTTTCTAGAACTGTTGAGATGATAACACATAGGCTACTCTATTAAATCTGCAACTGTTTAAGTAGTTGAAACACTTTTTTAAAAATGATGCTATTTGTCCCATAGAAGGAGAAAGATCAATTGTTGCTTTCTGATGACTGAGAATGGAAAAAAAAAGGAGGGGGGTTGTAGTTACTGGGATTCTGGAACATTTGATTCTTAAAATAATCTGATTTTCCCCTAAAATAGTTCATTTAGCAATTATTTTAAACTTGTATTTTTTACTGGAATATTGGTACCATACAACACACATCTATTACGTCTCCTATCTGATAAAGTGTACATTAATATCTTCACTATAATACTACACAGTAGCAGCAATAGACTCACCATGTTTATGGATAAAAGCTAAGCCTTGTAATATCTGATACATAATGTTTCTGATGACAGACTCAGGAAACAATTTATTTCTGTAATGGAACCAATTAACAAGGTGAAGGAAAACATGATTTTTCAGATAAAAACAAATATGCTTTAGTATCTCATTTATGTATTTATCGAATGCCTTAACCAATACACCATACTGGTTCTTTTGAATTTTAATCATATAGGAATAAGTATATTTATTCTAATAAACTATATATTCTATATATCAAAGGATGTATATCAATCATAATTTTAAAAGATCACAATTATTCTCAATTTTTCTAAAACTCTTCATATAGTTAAAACCAACCGACAAGATATGTAATGCTCTATAAGCAATAGATGAACACCTTGCATACCACATCATGTTGAGGTATGCCATGTTGCCCACAGATAAGCATAAAATCTGACCAGAGCATATGTACATAGAATCTGATATTCACAGATCCTTTGGAGTGGAATTTTAATCCACATACAAAATTGTTAGGCTAACAGTCCAATTAATGTTGTTTCATACTAACCATAGGACACCACATTAATTAATTAATTCCCATTAATTATATAGCCCCCCATCTCATATATATGACTCTTGGTGGCTTGCAAACAAACAAACCACTTAATTATTGTATCCACACATCAAAATCACCTCGGTCTACAGTTCAGCAGCAAATGTACCTGCCCATGCTGGAACTATCTCTGATCTGTTTAGTCTAGCTTACAATAATGAGAGAATGTTGGATATACAGTGGGGCAAAAAAGTATTTAGTCAGCCACCAATTGTGCAAGTTCTCCCACTTAAAAAGATGAG